TATTGTAGAGATGAGGTCTCGCCAAGTTGCCCAGGCGGGTCTCGAACCCGCGGGCTCTGGCAATCCACTCACCTCTGACTCCCAAACAGCAGGATTATAGACTGAGCCACTGAACCTGGCTCATGGTGTCCCTTCTAATTACAAGTTCAGGCTGGGTGCAGTGGCTCATGCCTATAATCCAAGCACTTTGGGAGGCCAAGGTGGGAGGATCACTTAAGTCTAGGATTCAAGAACAGCCTGGGTAAGATAGAAAGACCTTGTCTCTAAAAAAAAGAAAAAGAAAAAAATTAGCCGACTTGTTTGTGCACACCTGTAGTTCTAAGCTACTTGAGAGGCTGAGGCAGGAAGATCACCTGAGCTCAGGAGGTTAAGGCTGCAGTGAGCTGTGATTGTGCCACTGTAATCTAGCCTGAGTGACAGAGTGAGACTCTGACTCAAAAATATTTTTTAAAATTTCACTTTGTCACTAGCTTCTGTCTACAACAACCCTCCCAACCCTGTTCTTGATTAAACTGTGGTCTTGAGATCTTTTCTATGGCTGTTCTCCACTATGGATTTATCTCACAAAACCTTTAGGTCTGCCAAACTCTCCCTACATCTATATCTGCCACCAGTCAGACCCAGGTCTATCTACTTTATCTTCACTGACCCAAAAAGGATTGATATAATGAAGCCTTTTTTCTTTACTCTTGCTAAGTTCAGTCGAGATTTTTTGGGGTGTTAGACTCTACCACTACCATTTTTAATGGTACAAAGTGGTGCCATTTTTACTAACTGTCCTCAGTTGGAAGTGAGCTTTCAGGTTTAATTAACCAAGAGCTGATGTAGGGCCCAGCAGCCTTCAGCACCGCTTCTGAATGATGACTAAAAATGCTCTGGTATTGATACTCTGATGAGGAAGCGGCAAATATTGTTATTCTTTTTGTTATTCCTTTGTTGTTTCTTGCAGAAAAGATGAGATTTAAGTGGGATTTAAAGGTGGAAGAATTAAGTCTACCCACAGTTTAGAGACACTTTTTGAGACTAGCTTGAATTACTGAAAGTTAAAACCTATCCTGATATACAAGTTGGAGTTTTACAGTATATATAAGAGTGTAGTTTATTTCTATATATATTACTAATTACTATATATATACTAATTTATAGATTTTATTTTACAATAATAAGTATTATTACTGGTATAACCAAAAATTGGTTCTTTTTAAAAAAATTATTCCCTCCTGAGCGGGTTGATATTTCAAGTGTTTTTAAACAGTTGCCAAAATTTTAATGCTATATTCTAATCACATGATTGACTGTCAATATGTTCCTTGTGTGAAAAAAGTTTACTTGAGCTGAGTGTTCATTATCTTCACTTTAGACAGTTTTAACAAGAAGGGAAATAAAAAAGAGCTTGGCAAGAATGCAGACTCCTTGCCTTATGTAAGCTGGCTCACATCCCACCTCCTGTGGGCAGAGCAGAAAATGGAAGGGAGAAAAATGGGGTGCTAAACCCCTGCCCACGACTCCAAATGGAAAGGAGGAGCAATTCATCATGCTCATAAGCCAGTGTTCTAAGGCCACATTTTTTGCTCTTCCTTCTCTCATGCCTCTAAGGACTTCCCGTCTTCAATCCCCATCTGCTCTTCAGGAAAGTGATGCAGTTTATCTTGATCAGCAGGAACTTGAGTGGAGCTATGCAGCCTTCATAGTCAAGAAATAAGACCCAGGATTTGGTTACCTTTTGAAGTTTTATTGCTGACTTTGACACTAAGATGTCCCCTGGAGGCGGGAAGCTAACAGAAAATACTATTAGGGATGCACAAGATCCTGTAAAACTCAGGGAACCACAAGGGATATGTTGTATGAATTTATCTGGATTGCTAAATCCCTCTGACTCTTCTTCCTGGAGAGGATGTCTGAGTACTAGCAGGGACCTTGGCCTTAGCATGAAGTGGGTTTTTGTTGTTCTTGGTTTTAAATTTGACTTTTGTTTCCTCTTCATATTTTACTAAATCCCTAAATGGTTATCATAAATTTTATTTTCACTGTTGTTCCATTTTCCTTTATCTTTAGAGGGAAAGGAATGTTTTAAGTTGAAGGGTTTTAAGAAAAAATGATAAGTGTTGGCTTTCTCATTCAATCTCTCTGACCCAATAATTTCCCCTGGCAAAGAAGAGAGAAAGAACATCACAGGCAGAGTGAACTATAGAAACAATGTGTATGATATGGAAAGAATGGTGGAAATAAAGCTTAAAAAGGTGGTTTGAAGACAAATTGTGAAAGTTCTAGAATGTCCTAATAGTTGGAGTTTGGACTTTGTTCCATGGGTAATAGGGAGCCCCCAAAGGCTTCAAGAGACAAGAGACAAGGTCATATTTATTTTTTAAGTAAGTGACTTTGGTATCAGTGTAGAAGATGGAATGAGCAGTCCAGGATACCAGTTAGGAAGCAGTTTAAAAAGTTTAGGAGAGATAATAGCCCAAATTAAGACAGTTTCGGATAAATGGGCCATAGTGAAAAAATTATGTTGGAGAAAGTATTTATGAGACTTAGTCATATGAAGGGCAAAAGGATAACTTGGAGAAAAAATGATCTGAGATAAGAAGGGTACCATTAAAAAAGAAGGAATTCATTGGAGGAGAGATATTCAGTAGGTTTTGCATTGAGTCTGTTGAACCTGAAGTGTTCTTGTGACATCCACATGACAGTATCTAGAGGGCTAGAATTTTGGAGCTCAGAAAAAAAGGTTGGGAATGAAGATAAATATTTAGAAGTAATCAGCATAGTCAAGATTGATGAAATTTCAGACATGGATAAGTTTGCCAATAGGGAGTATAGTATGGAAGAAGTGACAGCCCAGAATGGAATCTTGCAGTTGAGGAGTTGCCAGGAAAGAGCCTTGGAGCTAGAAGGACCACACTGCAGAAGATTAAGGAAGGTTATTATTCAAGAAGTAGCAGGTGTTTAGAAAGAATATTTTTAAAAAAAATCATTGTTTTGGTCATAAAGAATCCACCAGTGGCCTCCTAGGAAGGCAGTTTCCAAGGATTGAGAGGCAGAAATGAGATCCTAGTTGTTGGGACTTGGATGGGAGGCAAGAAAATATGAATGGAGCACAAAACTGCTCTGGGGAAAGATTTTGTATTAATGGTAAGAAGATAAATATAGCTCAAAGGGAAGCTTGAAGGGAAGAAATACCTATTTGTCTAGGTCACTAGTTTGCAAAACACTTTTAGATCCATGGCTCACTTGATTCCTAAGACCACTCGAGGAGGTAGGAAGGGCAACTATTGATACTCCTGAGAACCAACTGAGGTTAAAAGATTTGTCCACACTCATTTATAGCAAACAAGTAGAAGAAGTGTGTTTAGAATTCAGGTCATTTGACACTTAATCCAATGATCATTCCATTGTGCCAAAACAGAACATTTCTCAAGTGCTTTCTCTATTTGAATACTGAATACTAGGGCATTGAGTTCTTTGTTAAAAGTTTGTTTTTTTTTTTTTTTGATATTCACTTTATTGGGGGTGGCCTGGAATCAAACCCATAGTCTCTCTGAGAAATGCCTTTTGACCTTGTCCAGGGTACAGTGGGGAGCTACTGGAAGGTTTTGTGTTAGGAAATGTTACATATAAGCCAATGTGCTGATGGAAACTAATCTGGCAGTGAGATGTAGGATGTGTTAGTAGAACAGACATCTTGGTGGGTAGACAATTAGGATGTGGCTTCAAACCAGGACACAGCTTTCTATACACATCAAATGATATGCTGAGAAAGTTATTTCCCTTCAATTCTTCAGACCCTATTCTGTTTGTGGTTAGAAGAAACTCTCAGTTTGCCAGCATATTTTTAACATCCCTCAAATATTCTTTTTGAACAAGGGACAGGTTTCAGACTGAGAACATTTGCAAACAGTCGAATCTTGCTAGAACTGGATTACATTCCCTTGTGTTCACATTGGTTTTATGATTACTCTCTCCTTGTGACAAATAGTACTGTTTTCTCATTTATTATAATTATAGAAAGTTTACTATTAAATAAATCTAAGTGAAGAAGTCAAATTAAGGAAAACATTGTCAATTATAAGACAAGCGGGGCACACCCATGGAGAAAAAAAATCTATAAATGTGTATTTAATGACTAAAGTTTGGAAAATTGACTCTTAGAGACTCTTGCAATAGGAGTAATGAGAATTTTGACCATGGTGCGATGGAGGAGAAAAAGAGGCTGTGACACATGTTTCAAGGGGATTAAAGAAGAGTGGGATAGCTGTCTCCTTGGGAGTATTTTCTGTATCATTTCTCAGGATGTTTTTGGCCACAATGATGGAAACTGCAATAAAAAAGATGTATGCGATACAGCGAGTTTATTATTTTATATATCAAGAAACCCAGAGGTAGGTGGCTCCAGAGTCGGCTAAGTCAAGGCTCATTGACATCACAAAGCACTCAGCTTCTGTCTCCCTTCCAACCTCAGCAAATAGGATTTGTCTGCTTGACCATGAGATGGCTCATGTGGTTCTGGGAATCCCTCAATGACACATGATGTTTTCAGTACAAAAAGGAGACATCTCTTCCTGGGCTGAAGATTGAAAGGTGAAGAAACTTTTCCCTAAAGGCCCCTCTACCAAAACATTTTCCTTTAGGATTCCTTGGCCAAGAATGTGTCACATATTCATGCATAAACCAATCACTGCAAAGGGGAGTCAAATCACCATGACTAATCTAAATTAATTAGAATTTATTTTCTGAACTAGGGATAGATATTCTTTCCCTGAAGGATGGAGTTCTCATGGTAATAGGGGCTCTGTTAACAAATATGGCTAGTAAACAGTCAACCATGTCTTTTAAACTACTGTGGAGAGCTACGTGTTTCTCTAGATACCTGTGGTTCTGAAATTCCTCAAATTCACTTTTGAACACAAATGGTACGGTCTTGAGGCTTATGATTTTTTTATTTCTAAACACTTTATTTAACTCTTCTCTCCAGGTGTTGGGTTAAGGCAGAACGCAATACATCCACTGCAAAATCAACTTCTGGTTTAGTGATGCACATTGAGGGTGCAATGCGGAATGTCTGAGGAGACAAGGGAAAAAGAACAATGAAATATCAGAGAATCAAATATGTCTTAGAGGAAAATGCACTAAAGATCCAATACCTTTTAAAATGGCATTTCTTACATTCCTCTCATTGGATTGGCTCCTCCTCCCTCCCCCGTGCTGTCTCCAGACCATTCACCCTCTAGACTCATACAAATCCTTGCACCATCTGGCTCTGTCCCTTCTCCCTTTTGCCATCTGTTTACCTCCTGGTCCTTTTGCCACCTTCACTTAGGTGTCAGGCCGCTCTCTACACTTCATTTCTGCCGTCACCAAAGGTGACTTCTGTGTCCATGTGTACAGCCCGATAAACCCACTTCTCACTTTCCTGATGGCCACAACTCCCAGAATCTTCCTCTTCGCTCTCCTTCATTCACACCCATGCCAGTGCCATGAGCCTCCTTTTCACCAGGAATAACCCCATTTCCTATTCCTGCTGCATCTAGTTTTTTCATGAACACTTCAGTTTCGTCATTCCTCTGTTGTCTTCAGGTCTGTCGCCACCCTCAGATCTCTTCTTTTCTTTCCTATCCAGTTTGGAGCACAGAGTAGACTGAAGTACCCTCTACCCGGCTCCTGCCCCCATTTTGCTTGCGTTTCCATCCTTCTGCTACAGCACCCACTTGGCCAAGTCCTAGCTCTTTTCAGAGCTGTCATTGAACTGCTTTGCTTGCATCTAGGTGACTGAGAAGTGTTAGAGAAAAATCACACAGCTAGGCTGACCGACAGCACCAGATATTCAGGGTCTCCAACTTCTTTTTTTTAAATTTTCTTTGAGTTGAAGTCTCACTCTGTCGCCCAGGCTGGAGAGCTGCGGCACGCTCACAGCCATCACAGCCTTGACCTGCTGGGCTCAGGTGATCCTTCCGCCTCAGCCTTCCGAGTAGCTGGACCTACAGGCAAGTGCCACCATGCCTGGCTAATTTTTTGTTTTTATTTTTTAAAATTTTTATTTATTGTAGAGATGAGGGTTTACCAAGTTGCCTATGCTGGTCTCGAACCCATGGGCTCAGGCAATCCTCTCACCTCGGCCTCCCAAAGTGCTGGGATTATAGGCGTGAGTCACTGTGCCTGGCCAGGGTCTCCAACTTCTGTTGGATCCTCAAATGTTTCTTGTTCTCTGTCAGTCTCCTTTCTCATTCTTCTCAGTTTCCTTACTCAATTTCTGTCAACGCCTCTCACTCTATTGTATACACAATCATGTCTAATCCTTCTTGGAAAATTGAAGCTGTCAGGCAAGATCCTTCAATAAACTTGTTTTCTCCCACATTCATTTTTATATGCTTTCTTGAAGGCTTACAGAATGAGGATTCTTTACTGTTCAACTCCAAATTGTCCACCTGTGCCCTTGACCTGGATACTCCCATTGCCTGCACTCCAGGACACATCTCTGTGTTCTCTTGCGTTTTCTACTGTCCCTCCTCCTATAACCAAGCAGACTAAAGCTTTCCTAACCCAATCCAAACCACACTGGACACAAATCGGCATTGACTCCCCCTGGTACGCTCTGGTTACATGCAAATGTTATCCTCCTGCTTTTAGCCACACCATTAAGAAGACTGATGCTTATTGGCTGTTAATGATCCCTTTGCCTTTCCCCTAATCACATCTGAGCTCATGGCAGTCTGGTTTCTGCACTGCCAACCTTCTAATACCACTCTACTCAAGTGACCTACTAGGTGAGAAATCTACTGGGCATCCTACAGCCTTCATCCTGTCTGACCTTCTCTGCTGCACTTGACAGTTGGGACCCTCCTCTTCTTGAACCTGCTCATCCTCTTGCTTCCATGACTCCATACGTTCTTATTCTCCTCACACCTGTCCACTCCCTTCTGTCTGCACCGGGACAACTTTTTTCTTGTCTTGCCTTTTAAATGTTGGAGTTGCACAGGTTTCCATCCTCACCTCACTGAGCTTCTTATCTAGATGCTGGACTGCTGTGGAGATTTCCTCATCTCACCACTTACAAGGGGTGCCCTCCAAAAACTGGAATTATTTTTTAGAGGGCAGGCTCCTTCCCCCACTTGGTAAGTGTTCTAGGAACCCATTGGCATCAGTGTACCAGCTAGTGTTGTTGTGAGAGGCAGCATTCAACTTCAGTGAATTGTTTTTGGAGATTCTTTCCACGCATTTGCTCATTTCATGATGGGTGATTTATGAGTGCACCTGCACATACCATGCTGAACATTCAGCAGTTTTTGACCAAAAATGTCATGAGTCCCATGCCCCACCCTCCCTAGTCATCTGATCTCACCCTGAGCCACTTCCTTCCCCCTCATGAAAAAAAGTTCTCAAAGAGAAACAATGTGGAAGAGGTGAAACAAAAACCTGCAGAAGCACTAAAAGGTATCAAAGTTAATGAGCTCAAAAATGGTTTGGAGCCATGGATAAGGCATCTCAATAGGTGTAATGCATTAATGCCTCAAATGGAGAGTACTTTAAGGTGATTGAAGTTTAAACATGGAAGAATAAATATACTTTTTAAATAAATAAATTCCCCTTTATACAGATTTTTCTTGATAGCTTCATTTTTCTCTGAGAAGTATGAGGCAAGAAGTGGATATTTCAGTATCTGTTGAAATTGTTCAGAGGCAGGAACGAAGCAGGGAACCAGGGAAGAATGAGGAATGTTTAACATGGGATAGAAAGATGACAAAACACAAGAACAAACCAGGGGAGGAGCAGAAGCTACCTTCACTCTTAAATCTTTGCCTCGGAGCCTGTGCTGGTGAGGGATTAGGGGGCACATTACTTGCAGCAGCATTCCTTGCCCCAGCACAGGGCAAGACCAGGTACTCATGATGGGGCTGGGCTTGGTTTTCCAGGAAAGGAGTAGGAAGGGTATGTCTCTGAATCTCCCAGTCCGAGGGTGATGGACACAGGCAGTGGCGGATTTTGAGCTCTGCATGGCCAAGGTGGTTCCCCTCCTTCCCAAAAGGTCACCCTGGCCTGCCAGCACTGTTGGATTGCTCTCTGCTACAGGGGCCACTGAGGCTTAGCAGGATCACAAAGTCAGAGCTCAGGGCTGAGCTAAGAACGGATAGGATTGCTAGAACAGGGGTTAGAATTAATTATACATAAGATAAATTATTTCATGACTGCTATGACTCCATTATCATCCGTATGGTAAACTGGTTGGGCTATATATTACATTGTGTGTATGTCTCTATACCTTTTCCCTACAGAGCCACGATAACCGAACCATTTTACCATAGCGCCTCTTAGTGGCCAAAGGGCTGCACGGCCTTTTTTTATTTTTATTTTTATTTTTTAGCGTCCCTGCGCGTGATCCCTAGAGGGAGTGTGGCTGGATCCCCCAGCACAGGCGTGAAGAAGAGCCATGGCATGGGCACTGGGACATAAGGGAGACGCTTGCCTAAAGTGATAGGTAAAGACCAGCTGTTCTCTTACCTGAGAAAAAATTCCACCTCTACCAATTAAAAGCCCCATGTTCTTGCAATCCTCATGGATTTGATTTACTTCCTCACGGGAAAGAGGCTGGCGGCTCATCTGCAAATATATTTTAAAAATGTTTTCCAGTTGGTGTTTGAATGGTTAAAGGAATTATTTCCAAGAGAAGAAAAACCTCACAAACCATCAATGCCCTTTTCTCTCTCCCTCCCTCCTTTCCTCCCTCGCCTCCCTCTTCCCCTAATTAAATAAAGTTGTTAATTACTGAAGAAGATTTTTAGGGGGTGCTAGTAAAAATATTTATTTTTATCCCAATTTAGTCCAAATTCCCAGAGGCAAAATGAAGTTCCATGCGGATAGCCAGTGAATCTTGGCTTTGCTAATGACTGCCTTGGGAGTCTGATTCCTTAATGGCTGAATTTGGAGTCAGTTTTATTTATGTGGAAACTCTCCTCAACTCTTCACTTTGTTCTGCCCTTATAAGGAGCTCATTTCAAAGTCCAGGAAATGGCTCAGAAGTTGCACAAGGGCACAAGCAGCCCAAGCCTTCCCTGGACAACAGTGCAGCTAGACAGCCGGAGTTGGGGCAGTTTGTCCTCATCTTCCTTGCTTGTGGAATTTGCTCTTTCTTCCCCAGAACTGCATCCTCCGGGGTTAGGAGAGGTTAGCTCTGCCGGAGTCAAGCAACTGTGTCAGATCACCAGGCATACAAAGGGGTCCTCTACCTGTGGGATCAGACATGCCAATACCCCTTTGGCAACACTGGGCTGGGGCTTATATTCTTTCTGGGTGTCTCCTGTTTCCCCGACTATGAGTACAAACACCTCCTTCTAACTTAGTCATTTCAAGTCTGACTGCTTGTTTGCATTACCTGGAAGCCTTTCAAACTAAGACCTTTGGACCTCATGCTATGCCAATCAAATTAGACTATGTGGGGCAGGGCTTACGCATCTGTGTTTGCAAAACTCCCCAAGTATCTGGGCTGAGCACTGCTCCAGGTCTCCTCCAATGAGTGCTAAGTGCCATCCCTGCTGCTGGTCTCCCCCTTTATTTCCATGACCCAGCCTTAGTGAGCCCCTGCACTGGGCCTGGCTCTCCAGTTGTAGATGCATGAGACATGATCCTTGCTTTGGGTCAGCTCCTGAGTGAGGTAGAGGGGGGCTCCCTCCTGTGACCCCAGCTTCATTGCTGTCCTCAGAGCTTCCTACCCACCCTCCGTCTTGGCCTTGGCATCTATTTCCTTCTCTTCATTGACCCTGGACCTAACTCTTTTCCCAAATCCTCCATTCCTTATAAGGTGTCAGTGTCTGAGGACAGAATACGACAAGACCTTCCAGGGATGTTTGCATTTTTGTCCATCTTAAAGCTCTAAGAGGCTGGACATGGTGGCTCATGACTGGTAATCCTAGCACTTTGGGAAGCCAAGGAGGAAGGATTGCTTGAGCTCAGGAGTTCAAGACCAGCCTAGGCAATATAGCAAGACTTTGGATCTAGAAAAAATAAAAATAAAAACATTAGCCAGGCGTGGTGGTGTGTACCTGTAGTCCCAGCTACTCAGGAGGCTGAGACTGAAGGATTGCTTGAGCCCAGGAGGTCTAGACTGCAATGAGCAGTGATCATGCCACTGCATTCCAGCCTGGGTGGCAGAGTGAGATCCTGACTTTAAAAACAAACAGCAAAAAAAACTCTAAGATAAGAAAAATAATGTTCACACTTTCAGACTATTGGGTCATGGAGGACCTAGAGTAGGGAAATACTAGGACTTCTATTGCCCCCACGTGCCTTCCCTGAAGTCTTCCTCTGGAGAGGGAAGACTCAAATAATTTAGGGCTAAACTGAACTGATAACTAGAATGAAGTTACATATGACTTGAGGGACAAGAGGTGAGGGGGGAGATAGGCTAGCCCCTCCAGAAAGATTTCCTGAAGGGAATTTGAGTTGGTGGGGGTCTTCTCTAACACTGCAGTTGTGAATGGGTAGAATTTGTGTGGCTTCATCCCAACCTTGGTCTGGGCCTCGTGGCTCTCTTGGTTATTTCTTCTCTCTCTGACCTCCACTGCTATGACTAATTGAACATCTTGCACACTTTCCTCAGGGAAAAGCAGGGTCAGAAACTCTAATAAGGTCAAGCTACTGGGCAGCCCACTGAGGGCTCTGTGCCCAAGCCTGTGTCCCAACTGCTTAATAACAAAGTGGGCATGTTAATAATTAGACTTCTTGGGTGTATAATGAAGCTTCATGTTTATCGCTTTTGGTTTTTGCTTTTTTGGTGAATGTGCATTTTTAAAATGATAAAACTAATCCTTGGTTATAGAAAAAAATTCAAATGATATATAAGTGCACAAAGTAAAAACAGAAAGTTACCCCTGCCCCATGCTACTCTTAGGGCCCTCCTCCTGACAATTTGGTGTGACTCAGATACTTTTTCTATGCAGGCAAATACATCCATATGTATATTTAAAATGTAAGACTTTATAAAATAAAGTCTTTTTATAAAGTCTTGCAATTTTCTTTTAATAATTTATGACATATCTTGAACATCTTTCCATGTTGGTATGTTTGGACCATGTCTTTTTAAAGGTTATTTAGTATTCCATTGCATTAATTTGTTCAATCTCTTATTGTTAAGCATTTAGACTGTTTCCACTTTTTCATGGTTATAGATAATGCTGCAAATATCCCTATTCATACATATTTTTACACACTGTTGCATTTATTTGGGACACATTTCTAAAAGTGGAATTACCAGGTCAAAATATATAGACATTAAATTTTTTTTTTTTTGAGGCCATCCCAGTGTCGACTTGTTGGGCTTCAATGATCCTTCCACCTCAGTCTTCCAAGTAGCTGGAACTACAGGCACGCGCTACCATGCCTGGCTAATTTTTTATTTGTTGTAGAGCTGAGGTCTTGCCAAGTTGCCTGGGTTGGTTTCAAATGCGTGGGCTCAGGCAATCCTCTTGCCTTGGCCTGCCAAAGTGCTGGGATTACAGGCTGAGCCACAGAGCCCGGCCGACATTAAAATTTTTGATAGATACAAATTGCTGTCCAAATGGCTGTACTTCTTCACCAACAGCATATATGAGTACTCAACCTGGGTTGTGCTGGGCAACATTATAGCAAAATTCTGGGCTCTTATAATTACATGAATGTGTTCTGACATGTTGGAAGGGCCTAAATCAATTAACAAACACAAAGCACCTATCATCTGGCTGTTTTCTGGCCCCTAAAGTGTTCAACTTCATTGAGGAAATAAGATATTTATACATAAAAACTAGGTCAACAGCTACAGGGTGGATGCCACAGACCAAATGCCTTCCTCAGAGTTCACATGTTGAAGCCTAATCTCCAGTGTGATGGTATTTGGAGATAGGGCCTTTGGGAAGTAATGAGGTCATGAGAGTGAAGCCCTTGTGAATGGGATTAGTGGTCTTATAAAGAAGTCCCAGAAAGTTCCTTCACCCTTTCCACCATGTGAGGACACAGCAAGAAGGTGCTATGTGTGAACCAGAAAGTGGGCCCTTATCAGACACCAAATCTGCCTGCACTTTGATCTTAGACTTCCCAGTCTTCAGAATTGTGAGAAATATATTTCTGTTATTTGTAAGATATCCAGTCTATGGAACTTTGTTATAGCAGCCTGAATGGACTAAGATAAAGACAACTTTTCAACAAAGCTCTTCGGACAGTGAGGACTAGAGGAATTTTCTGAAGAGTAGAGGCTCCAGATGGGAGAGAAGCAAAGACAAGTTTTAGGGGAGGTGATCTTGAAAAAGACTAGGATTTCCATAAGCAGAGACAGAGAGGAGACTGCTTGAGGAAAAGCTTGGGTGGCATTTGAATGTACAAGAGTGAATGGCATTGAGGGGATAGTGAGGAGAATTAGGGGACAGAGGAGCTGGAATTTAAATATGAGTGGTCTGCCTGAAAGTCTGTGCTTACAACTAACAAATGGCAAAATGAAAAGAAAAAGAGCTCCTTCTACAGGTACTATTATGTAACCTTGCTATCGTTTGGATATTTGACCCTCCAGACCTCATGCAGAAATTTGATCTGCAGTGCTGGAGGTGTGGTTGAATGGGAAGTGTTTGGGTCATGGGGGAATCCCACATGAATAGCTTGGCATGGTTCGCCCCATAATGAATTCTTACTTTGTTAGTTCCCTCCAGAGTTGGTTGTTAAAAGGCGTGTGGCACCTCCCACCTCTCTCTCTTGCTTTCTCTCTTTCTATTTTCTCTTCCCTCTCTTGCCATGTGATATCTGCACACATCAGCTTCCCTTCTCCTTCCATCATGAGAGGAAGCAGCCCAAGGTCCTCACTAGATGCAGATGCTGGTGTCATGCTTCTTGTACAACCTGCAGGGCTGGGAGCCAAATAAAACTCTTCCTTTCTAAATTATCTAGTCTTAGGTATTCCTTTATACCAATGCAAATGGACTAACAAACCTGTTTTATTTCTTCTGCAATATAGTTTGCACATCTTTTCATGTCAAGTATGAGGGGGGACCCAAAACAAACTGGAATTATGTTTTGGAGGGTGGGCCCCTTGTAGTGCAGGCTTCCTCCACTAGGTAAGTATCAGCATCATTGTACCAGCTAACATTGCTGTGAGGGGTTGCACTGGGCTTCAGTGAATTTTTTTAATTTTTATTTTGAGATTCTTTTTTTTTTTCTGAGTTGGAAGTCTCACTCCATTGCCAGGCTAGAGTGCAGTGGCATGCTCACGGCCACCCCAGCATTGACCTGCTGGGCTTTGGCGATCCTTCCATCTCAGCCTTCCAAGTAGCCAGAACTACAGGCATGTGCTACCATGCCCAGCTAATTTTTTTTTTTTTTATTGTAGAGACAAGCTCTCACCATTTTGCCCAGGCTGGTTTTGAACCTGTGGGCTCAGGCAATCCTCTCGCCTCAGACTCCCAAAGTGCTGGGATTACAGGCTTGAGCCACCACACCTGACCTGTTCTTTAAATGTATTTGCCCATTTCATGATGGGTGATTTATGATGCACTTGTATACACTGCACTGAATGTTCAGCAGTTGTTGAGCAAAAACGGCGTGATTCCCGTTGCCACACCCTCCCTATTCACCCTATCTCACCCTAAGGGACGTTTTTTGTTTCCCTGCATGGAAAAAGTTCTCAAAGTGAAATGTTTTGCCAATGTCAAAGAGGTGAAACAGAAAGCGACAGAAGCACTAAAAGGCATCAAAATCAACGAGTTAAAAAACTGCTCTGAGCAATGGAAAAAGCGTCTCTATAGGTGTACTGCATCAAACCGAGAGTACTTTGAAGGTAAAACATGTAAGAATAAATGCACACTTTTAAAATAAATAAATTGCATTTTGGGGTCCCCCTTGTATATATCCATGCCATTGTATTAGGGATATACCATAATTTAGTTTGGTCTGTATTATTGGCCATCTGGGAGGATTTCAGTGTTTTACTATAACAAAGTTTTGATGAATATCTTTGTTCACGTGACTTTGAGCATGCAGAAGTTGTGTTTGGAATAGAGGGAAAGGGAGGAACTCCTCCTGTCTCATTGCCATTCCTTTCTGAAGACTGAGAAGTACAGATGCCTTTGAGGGAGCTCCTTGGGTAGGGGCTAGGATGGACTCTTCTGGACCTTTTAACAACCCAAGTTAAGGGTTGTTAAGATAAGCTTGTTATGACTTGTGAGCTAGAGGCCCTGGTCTCATATTATTTTTTATTTTCTTATTGCCATTCCTTCCCTTGGTCTTCAATTTTTTTTTTTTTTTGAGTAGGAGTCTCACTCTGTCTTTCAGGCTAGAGTACAGTGGCATGATCATGGCTATTGCAGCTTCTACCTGCTGGGCTCAGGCAATCCTTCCACCTCAGCCTTCCAAGTAGCTGGGACTATGGGCACAGGCCAATGCCCAGCTAATATTTTTTAAATTGTTGTAGAGATGAGGTCTCACTTTATTGCCCAGGCTGGTCTTGAACACCTGGGTTTAGGCAATTCTTTCACCTTAGCCTCCCATAGTGCTGGGATTACAGATGTGAGCCACCATGCTGAACCTCATTTTTTTTTTTTGAGACAAAGTCTTTCTCTGTTGCCTAGGCTAGAGTGCAGTGGTACAATCATAGCTTACTGCAGCCTTGAACTCCTGGTTCAAGCAACCCTCCTACCTCAGCCTCCCAAGAAGCTGGATTACAGGTGTGCCTAATAACACTCAGCTAATTGTTTCTTATTTTTTGTAAAGATGGGGTCTCACTATGTTGCTCAGGCTGGTCTTGAACTTGTGGCCTCAAATGTTCCTCCTGCCTTGGTCTTCCAAAGTGCTGGGAATATAGACATGAGCCACTGTGCCTGGTCTCAAATCTTATTTAAGCATCCCAGTTTTGAACTGGCTTTGTCATGTATTTTTAATGGAGGAGTCTTGTATCCATGTCTGGTCTGAATATTAAAAGAACTGAGCATCAATCCTTCTCAAGTAGGATGGTAGTAAGACCAAAGAGCAAGGAATCACTCGGGGGAAACTGAATCACTGTGGAAAACAGTTAGGGCTATGAGGTGAGTCTGGCTATTCCCACTCCAAGATTTTCTTACCATTGTTGTCCTTAGGCTTTGTTTTTATCATGGAAAAGTACAATTTCTTACTGACATGGAAGCAGAGACAAACGGAAGGATTTGAGAGCAGTAGAGACAAAGAGAAGGATTTGAGAGACACGGCAGAGAAGGGGTGGATCAATAGGACTTGATGTTAAAAATTAGGGAGGAGGAGGTGTTGCAGACCATTTTGTATTATTGAAGTGGAAAATTGGGAGAACGGTAAAGGGTGAGAAACAGAAACAGTGATCTTGAGAGGGACATCTGGTTTGGGATGTTAAGGTGTGAAGTTCAATTGTTGTCATGATGAGCTTGAGGTCTCAGTGGGCAACATTCCTTCGTGGTTACTTGGGAGATTGAAATACATCTACAAGCAATCTCTCTCTCTCTCTCTCTCTCTCTCTCTCTCTCTCTCTCTCCCCAATATATCTTTAACATCCCAAACCTTTGCAACTTCCTTTTGGTTCTTCCTTCTTACTTCCACCTGCCCCTTCCCAAATAATTTCTTCCCTTCTCCATATTTCTAAGTATTCAATCATTGCCCATGCTCTTTGCCTAGTGTGGCGAGAATAATATTGGTTTCCTTTTCCAAATACTCTCCCTCAGCCCTCTAACATTCTCAACGAACTGCCAGCATTTTGTTCATGCTCAACACTCTACTAAACTCTGATGAGTTTTGCTGATTAGTATGGTCGATGTGTGCTCTCTTTCTAAGAGTGACTAAAGTAAGCTTTCAGCGGATGCTTCCCCCTTTAACCCCTGCTGGCCTGCAGAGAGAGCAGATCAGAACCTACCTTATCCTGCACCATCTCGATGCCTATCATGAGACCCTTGCCTCGGATGTCTCCAACAATTTCAAACTCATCCCGCAGCTTAGCAAACTTCAGTAACATGTAAGTACCAACTTCTTGACTGTTTTCCTGTAGGTTTTCTTCTTTAATCACCTGTTGAGAGAACGCTTCAAATGATCTTACATGGTAAAAGTTCTAAGACATTATGTGCCCCCCACCCCACTAAGGGAACCCTATCCTAAACCAGGGGAAATGAGGACCAAACTTCACCTGCACATAGACCATTTATGTACCTAATCTTGACTTGTATCCCACATCTTTAAAATAAAATAAGATAAAACAAAGGGAAAAAACTTCTAAGATTGACTGAGAAGTGTGGCTAAGTAATTGTATTAGACCTTCTTTATAGTAACTTAGCCAAACCAAACCCAGGGCAAGGTCTAGTATGGCCACACCATGGATTTCATAAAGATTTGTTGTAAGGAGAAGAAAAGTCTTAGTAGAGGGAATGTTTCCCCATTCAACTCTTTTACCTTCAGGGGTGGATAAGAATTTAGGAAAGAAGAAAACACATGTCTCAATGCAGCTAACATAGATTTTGTAATCGTTCATTATTGCCAGGTTTTGCTGAGAACTGGGGTACAGTAGTGAATAACATAAATGCTCTGGGGAGAGAAATAGTACAGGTGCTTCCCCTACTAAAGGATGGTAACCTTTGTCCAGTAGCCCTCAGCCAGGCAAAGGCTTTCATAGCCCAAGTCTGCCTCTTTAGCTGAGCCCAGAGCAGGGCACTGGAGGCTATGAAAACATTTTCATGTAAGTTCTATTCACAGCAGATGACTGTGGTTCTTGACAACACAAGTGAAAGACACTACATTTATATTTAACTGACAATAATTGCATGACTCCAGGCAAACCTTAATGTTTTCAGGCTCTATCTGTTCAGCTAAACTTTCTCTACCTTCTAAATTGGTTGAGGTGATACAGCATTAAAAAAAAAAAAAGTTGACAATGCCTACAAAATGAAATGATACATTCCCTCAAACTTTCTCATTTCATGACTTAATCATATTTGAAAATAACTATTTAAGCTGGGCTCGATGGCTCAGTCTGTAATCCCGTGTCTTGGGAGGCTGAGATGAGTGGATTGCCTGAGCCCGTGGGTTCGAGGCCTGCCTGGGCAACTTGGCGAGACCTCATCTCTACAGTAAATCAAAAAAAATTAGCCAGGCGTGGTAGCGTCTGCCTGTATTTCCAGCTACTCGGAAGGCTGAGGGGGAAGGATCGCCGGAGCCCAGCAGGTCGAGGCTGTGGTGGCCAGGAGCAGCCACTGCACTCCAGTCTGGGTGACAGAGTGACAGAGTGAGACTCCAACTCAAAAACAAAAACAAAAACAAAACAAAACAAAACTATTTAGCAAGGGAAGAATTTGTTTCTTTATATTTTAAAATACTTTCAAATCATTTTTTTTAAACAGGTAAATCAAAGTGGTTCAAAAATCAGCAAGTATAAAAGTATATGCAGCAGAATGACTTTTTTTGCTTCCTGGTCCCCAGTTGCCAAGTTTTCCTCCCCACCAACAACTACTAGCATTAATTTCTTGGACTTTCCTTCAGAAATATGTTATGCTTATTTAAGCAAATGCTATTATGCATATTAGCAAGAATATTTTAAAATCTTTTTTTTTTTTTTGAATTGGCGTCTCACTCTGTTACCCAGGCTGGAGGGCAGTGGCACCCTCACGGCCACCCCAGGAATGACATGCTGAGCTCCAGCGATACTTCTGCTTTAGCCTTTCAAGTAGCCGGAACTACAGGCACTCGCTACCACACTTGGTTAATTTTTGATTTATTGTAGAGACAAGGTCTCGCCAAGTTGCTTAGTCTGGTCTCGAACCTGCGAGCTCAGACAATCCATTCGCCTTGGCCTCCCAAAGTGCTGGGATTACAGGCTGAACCACTGATCCCGGCCAAAAATCTTTTCCAACAGATGAGATTTCAGGCTAAATCAATATTCACAACAGCTGAGTTACCTTGTTGTAATCACATAGAACTGTTTCTCCTTAGTCATTGAATTTATAATACTACAACAAAAGGAAGAAAAAAAGATACAAGACAAAGCCAAAATTAAACTAAAAACAAGGATAGTAGTTAACTACCTGAAAAACTACCCAGATAGCAAAGACATTTCAGTGCTACCAGCTAGCTAGGGAATTCTTCTATTTCTCAATATGTGAGGTTTATTATATATTATTTTTTTTTAATTGGTTTTTTTTTTTTTTTTGTAGAAACAGCATCTTGCTGTACTGTCCAGGCTAGTCTCAAACTCCTGGCCTTGAGCAATCCTCCCACCTTGGCCTCCCAAAGTGAGGGAATTACAGATGTGAGCCACCACACCTGGCCAGGTTTATCACTTCAAGCAATCAAAGTTGAGCTTAAAAAAAAGGGGGAAGGCATAGTAATAACTGGGAATCTAACTTAAGTTAGTGAACCATAATTAACTCTCCACTTTAATAATGCAATGCGATAGCTCTGATAATGCCTGTGTGGTTTTGAAATAGTCAATTGTGAAATGAGAGATGTTAACTGAGACTGCTGGAACAAACCGCAAGCACAGCAGATCCAATGGCACAGGCCACGGGGTTCCCTCCAAAGGTGTTGAAGTGCAGCAGGCATTTAGCCAAAGACTTGGCGATCTCTACAGGGAGAAAATAAAGGTGGGTCAGGAGGGACACATCCCTGTCCGGAATCTCTCATGACATCATTTGGATCACATTTACTTTCATGTTATAAACTGTATCATATCCGATTTGTTCTTCACTCATCTGATAGTGGATGTTATGGACTGAATTGTATCTTCTTAAAATGTATATGTGGAAGCTGGGCCAGGCGCAGTGGCTCATGCCTTTAATCCCAGTACTTTGGAAGGCAAAGGCGAGACGATTGCCTGAGCCCACAGGTTCAAGATCAGCCCGGGCAACAGACCTCATCTCTACGATAAGCCAAAAAATTAGCTAGGTGTTAAATCAAAAAATTAGCTGGGCGGGGTGGTGCATGCCTGTAGTTCCAGCTATTTGGAAGGCTGAGGCAGAAGGATCACCTGAGCCCTGCGGGTCAAGACTGTGATGGCCGGGAGTGTGCCACTGCACTCCAACTTGGGTGACTCCTACTCAAAAAAAAAAAAAAAAAAATTATATGTTGAAGCCCTAACCTAGAATGTAACTGTATTTGGAGTCAGTGGCTTTAAGCATGTAATTAAAATTAAATGAGGTCATAAGGGTGGGACCCTGGTTCAAAAGGACTGATGTCCTTAGAAGAAGAGGAAGAGACACCAGAGCACTCCTCTCCCACCCCTCTCCTTCACCCCTCCCTCTTTCCCCTTCTCTCTTCATTCTCCCTCCTCTCATCTCCCTCTTCCCCCTTTCCTATATCTCCCTAGTGTGGTAAAACCCAGCATTTCATTACAGGGATGGGAAAATTAGTCTTCCCTACAGCAAAATCAGAGAGGGCTGGCTTTCTTTCATCTGTTCCACAATCTGGCAGACAGAAGTGTTTCTCTCTTTCATTTGCTTGGGAAATGCATCATGTGGTTCTCACCACTGTCTCTACCCACACAAGTTCCAACACACGTGTTTTATACCATAGCCCACGCAGGAGACCCAGAAGCAAACACAAACTTCCCATAGGTCCTACCTGGACTGGTTACAACTGCTGCCATGGGAAAGCCATTTCCAATTCCTTTAGCCATGGTGACAATGTCAGGCAGGACATCGTGGGTTTGGAAGCCCCAGAAGTGAGAGCCCAGTCTTCCAAATCCTGTCTGCACCTGATGAAAACAAATTAAAAATCACTAGAACCCTTTCAGGAAGCACTGTTTTTTCTCTGGGTTCTCTTCCCTTTCCTCCTTTCCCTTTTCCTCTTCCTTTTCCTCAATAGGGTCATCATGAGTCATCACTATTGTTTTTGTATCATGGACAAGGCATTTGATCTGTGACTGAACTTTTAGGTATCAAAAGTAATTTCCTAGTTTTGTGCAATTCTGGATATGTTTCTTAAGTCCTCTGAATCTCTGTAACTCATCTGTCAAGTAGTAATACTAGTAATATGTCCCAGAGCTTTGTGAGGGTCATATAAAAAAATGCATGTGAAAGGAATTATGATGATTAAAAATCCTTAATAAGCATCTCCTGTGTGGAAGGCAGCGGGGTAGAAGAGTGAAGCTGGGTTTGCCCCAGGCTGGAGAAACAGGAATTACTGTCAGTCAAGTGGAACTGAAGCACTTGCTCCAGCCCACATGAATGGTCATCTTCTTCCCAGGAAGGTCCTCCCCTTCCTGAGGATTGTATTGCAAGGAGGTTGCAGCTGAGCCCGTTAACGCAGGGTTGAATGTCTCTAATCTAGGAATTGTGATTTGTACTGAAGTTGGCATCAGTATTTTTGTACATGCTGTTCCCACACTCTAGAAGACTCTCTTCCTGCTTCTTCATCTCACTAATTTCTTCTGTCCTTTAGGAGCTTTGTCACTTGGTCTAGGAAGATATTCCTGAGCTATAGTGTGGTTCCTTCCCAAGGCACTGTGGGCATGCTCCATCAGAAGCTTTCACTGTGACCTGTTATCACCCCAGACGTGTCTGATGGCAGGGATGGCGTCTTATTCCTCTCTCTGTCCATAACACCTAGCAAAGTGCCTGATATAAAGTGTTTGTAGAATGAAGGAGTGGCCTAACTAAAGAAAGTCACACAAACATCCTCATGCACATTTCTGCCAGAGCCTTTCTGGTGAAGGCTTCTTGATATCTTTCTGGCTCTCAGCCTCTCTGTCTCTGTCCATGCATAACACAATACAGGTCAGGAGTAGGGATGTGGGTACTTGAAGGTGATTCTAAAATACACTTAAAAGAACACTTCCTTCTCAGATTTCCTTCTAATTTTCCCTACTCTCCCTTGACTGCTGCAACAAACGTAGATTCCAGAGGTTAAAATTAGACAACAGTGAAAAATATAGAAGAGCTTAGACATGGGAGTCAAGCAGTCTGGGCTGGAATCCTGGGTCTCCTACTTCTCAGTTATGGACCTCTGTGCAAGCTAATTGATTTGCCCAAATGAGATAATGGAGGAAGAGCTCATGGAAAATTCATTCGTCTTCTTTTTTCACTTCATCTATGTGCCATGAATAAATGGTATAAGTGGTGAAAAGTCAGATTGTTTAGACCATGCATGGAATTATGTAGGACAATGAATCATGTTTAGTTATGTAGGAAATATCAGTTTTGTAGACTCTTACAATAGGACAGAGATGGATCAGTTTAAGGTTCATAAACTCAACTGTCTTTGGGGAGGAGGAACATATGTTAGAGAGAGAAGTAGACTGGGTCATGACAGTCAGCAGGGCTGGGGACAGTGGGTGTGCATGCCCTACCTAAAAGCAGTCCATTTCAAATTCAAAATTAGTCTATGCCAGACCAGCTGCCCAATATGGACTCAGGGTTTGCCATTTTTCTGTCTTTGATTCAAAATTCCTCATTTTGAAGAAAAGAATGCCAACGATCATTAATTAAGATGACTTGTGTAAGATCACTTGATGATAGAACTGGGAACTGGCCCCTTACACTCAGGTTTTCCATCCTTTGCTACCTCTTTTCTTACCATGTTTTGCCTTTCCAGAACTCATCATTTTTGAGGGGCAGGTGGGTACAGTGGCCAGTTGTGTGATTTTGGAAGCCTGAGTTAGTGTCTTGGATCTCTCTCTACTAACTGCATGACCTTGATGGTGACTTAACCATCTTGGACTTAAATTCTCTTATCTGTAAAATGGGGATAATAACATGGGAATTCTTATAGAATTGTTTGTGAGTATTAACCATTAACATGCAAAGCATTATAAATAATGCCTGATACGTAGTAAGAGCTCAGAATGTTCCAGTTATTCTTATCTTTACCTAGTCATCAGAATGGTCCTTCTTAAGGTTACCTTATATTAGACAGTTTCCAATTACATTTTCGAAAGTCATAAAACTGCCTATCTTAGAACATTCTGAAATTCATATTTTCCTTGAATTCAGCCTACTTTCCCTCTAATTAGCCCAATTGTGGCAGCTTCACTATGTGCTGATTCAGAGGTCAAAGTTTATCTTCTTTACTGATGTAACTAATTTTAAACTGGTTGGATAGACTTCTCTTCTTTTTTTCATGTATTAACTTTCTTTTGCAAGGACTTTGATCTGTTTACCTGCAGGTTGGGGAAGGGAGGATGGGCAGGCCAGGAGGAAGCTGACCAAGCTGTGTGCAGTATGCCAGGGGCATCTAGCGTAACTGGGCATAACAGGGATGTGGCTACATATGCAAAATTTCTGCCAAGAAGGAAGCCCAAGAGGGAAGTTGCAGGGAATTTTTAGTTGAGAAAAACTGTTTAGGCAAAGATGGCAGAATTGAAAAGTTATGAAACATACTTACAGGTTCTCCACCTTTCCTTGGTGGGTCTTTCCACCTGTGAGTACAATTATGAAAGGTTATCCAGCAGTGAGCCAGGATGACTTCTATAGACCTAGTCACCATGCTCTGGCCTTCTGATCTCCACAGACAAAGGATTACTTTTTCCGATGCACTCTCATATGAGGTATAATTATAATGAAATTGATCCCTTTTAAAAAGCATACAGGCTATGGCTCACACAGCTGGTGAATTTTATTCCCTCCAAGGTAGTCCTTTTGGGAGTACTGTGTGTTTATTGCAACAATGCTGCTTTTACTCAAGCTCTTCTACAGTTGTTTGAGAACTATTTCCTAATGCAGTATTTGCAACACTGGCCTTCTTCTAATTTAAAAGCTAGATTATTGTTATTATTATTATTATTTGAGTTGGAATCTCACTCCATCACCCAGGCTGGAGTGCAGTGGCACTCTCACGGCCACCCCGGTGTCGACCTGCTAGGCTCAATCAATCCTTTGCTTCAGCCTGCCAAGTTGCTGGAACTATAGGCATGCTCTATCATGCCTGGCTAATTTTTTGATTTATTGTAGAGATGAGGTCTCGTTGCCCAGGTTGTTCTCGAACCTGTGAGCTCAGGCAATCCCCTTGGTCTTCCAAAGTGCTGGGATTATAGGCTTAAGCCACTGCACCCGGCCTATTATTACTTTAAAAATATCATTTCCAGGCAAGTTTTGCCAGAAAAGTGTATGCTACCAAATTGGTTAATATTATTTTGGTAGCAATTAAGATAAAAATTTGGTTAGGAGATTAAATTTCCTATGTGGTTTGTCAGTTGCTCCTAGAAAATAACTTTAAAAAATACATTGAGTAATGGTAGCATCACCTATGCCTGCTAGCAACTTATTTGATAGACATAAATTTGAGTATTTATGTTCTGTTGTGCTTGTTAAACTGGTCGACACATCTGCTAACAAACCAACCAAGCAAGTAGCAAAAGCTTCATCAATTTATAGCCATACTTTGGAATTCACACACTGGCTGCTTTCGGCCTGGGATACAGAGAAGGTTTGAAGAAGTTTCT